AGTAGAGTGTTTGTGCGGCCTGGGGCTTGGAATGCTTCAGTCCGGAATGTCATTGCTTCTCAAAACTGCTCCGCTAGCCCTGAAAGTCTCGCGCCGGTTTATTCAGCCTCGTTTTCTCGGTCCTTGGCAACAGGTCGCACGGTCGTGATCTGGCAACCAGCAAGCCCAGTTTCAGGGGCACGAGTTGTGTGTATGGAAGCACTTCACATTCAAGTTTGTTGCGTTTTAGGTTTTAGGACTCTCTCCTATGTTATGTACAGAAAAGCGGTAAGCGAAAGAGAGCAGCGAAAGAGCAGCGAAAGTGCAATCCAAAAACTCAGGCTTCAACGGCTGGAGACCTGGAGGCATTGCCTCGGCATGCTTCAGCTCATGCATCTGGGCCGAATCAAGAGGCAAGCAAGAAAGCCCAACGTGAAAGTTTGAACCCCTGGCTTCTTGGCACAATTTCCAGGGATTCCAGAGATGGCAATCACAGGTGGGATTTGAGAACGTCCACATCGTTTACCCTCCGAGCTGGCAATCATGAAGCGGCTTTCAACACACCTGAAGCAAAAAACAAGTTCTGTCGAGTTTACATGTTGTCGAATGTGCATACATCTGTACATAGGAGATTTCTTTTTTGACGGAGCCGTCATCCATAAGCTACCCCAACGAACAGTCGAACAACAGCGACCACCCCTGCTCGCATGCACCTTGTCGGTGTCACTGGTGTCACTGTGCGTATTGTAGCCAAGGTAGATATACATGTGCACTTGTTCAGTGAGCATCTGCTCGGACTTGCGTGTGCACAAGGAAAGATCTAAACATCGAAGGCTTCTTGAAGCCTCCAAACCCCAAAAAGCCTAAACCCTCCATATGCCTCGCCTGGATTGTCCGAGTTTGAGCGCCGAAACCCCAAATAAGAAATTGCCTCGCCTGAATTGTCCGAGTGTGAGCGCCGAAACCCCAAATAAGAAACTGCCTCGCCTGGATTGTCCGAGTGTGAGCGCCCAAGCCCCACCCTCAACCTTAATTAAACCCCTAAGCCCTAAACCCAAAAAAGCCTAAACCTTTGAGAGCTCTAGGCTTCGCCAACGAGCACAGACACACCTGGCAGCCTACCGCAGCGCGGCCGTCGACTCAGCTGAAGACCCAACTCGACGGTTTCAGGTTTCAGGTCTTTGGGCTTCTGGTTTAGGCTTAAGGGTTTTGGGTTTGTTCCCTCTCGCATGGCAGAGAACAAAGCTCACAGGCGAGATTGAATATAGGTTTTGGGGTTTAGAGTTAAGGGTTTAGGGCTCTAGGGTGCTTGCAAGAGTCCTGGATGCAAAAAGGGTTTACGGTAAAGGGGTTTGGGCTTATGAATTAATGTGCAAAGTTGTTATCGTCATTATCGTCGTCATTGTCGTGCTCATTTGTTTCGTTGCTGGTATTCTGCTGTCCCCAGCTATGGTTACGAGATGCTACGCTGCTTCATGCTTGCAGGAAGCCTTGATGTCAACACGGTGGTGATGCTGCTACTTGTGCATCAGCACATCTGTCAGGGAGTCATGGCTTTGTACTCTGTGGAATCTGTTTAAAAAACTCCTGCGACTGGAGAACAGCTGCATGCAGATGCGGCAGCCGCACAACCTCATTTTCCATTTACAGATACCACCCAGCTGACTCTCGAAGCTGGGGCTTCAATCTCCCACAGACTGAATCGGAGTTGCCGATGTACTGTGGGTTGTGTCACAAGCTATTAATACGCTATGTGCGCAGCCGTCGACGAACCGCTGGCCACTAGGTTGCCGGCTACATGAAGTCCGTACCATCGACTATCCCCGGTTGTGTAATCCCCGGTTTGCCTCCCTCTGCAATTTCATGGTTCTGCTGTGCTAAGCTCCGTGCCTGCGGCCTGGGCCACGCCAGCGGCACGGCGCTGAAGCTTTTGAAGGATGCGAGGGTCCCAGGTCGCCCTCGGGATAGACGAAGCCTTCAGGCTCCTATGTTTGTAACAGCAGGCTCCAAAGCATGGAGTCCCGTTGATAAGCTATCTGCAGTGGTCCGCTGGAGAAAGGCGTCCCAGTGGGATAATACCCCGTGAGTATTATATTTACCACTACTGCAACTCGGGATGCGTAATACGGCAGAGGAAGCAAGCCACGTCGAAAACTCGTAGACTCATTACGTGCCGGCTGCGAGCGTGAGAGTCGAAACCCGACTCCCATACCCATGAGCACCTAGACCTAGACTTAGACCTGACCCCAGAGCTACGAGCCCCAAGCCCAGACCCTTTAGCCCCAATGACGGTCCAGGCCTTACGCAGATCATCCAAAAAGAGAAACTCCCAAGCCACCCAATAGAAACGAAGCCCTAGAGTCGAAACCCCAAAAGCAAGCCCCAAACACAACAACTAAACCCTAAACGTACACCAATGTGTTTCACCAACCAAAAAGCGCCAAGAACCTCTCGGACATGTCCGGCAGTGGGCGCCTAGACAAAACTGATGGCCCAAAGCCTCCCAAGTCAAACCTTAAACACAAATTGTTCGCTTGACATTGTAGTTACTGTGCTAGTTGGACACTTGAGACCTCGTCTGGCGGAGTCCGAGTTGCGAGCGCGTAAACACAAAACGTACGCCCTAAACCCTTTCCCCCCAAAAGGGCTGTGTCCTAGCTAGGGGGAGGCAAACAAACCCGAATAACCCCAAAAAGTCAAGCCCTGAACCCTCAAAATCCCCTGGAGGAGCTGCCGCTACGGGGCCTCCGGGACCCTGAGGAGTTGGCTCGGAGCGCGGCCGTGTGGGCATACGAGGCAGCGGAGGCCAGGGCCTTAGGTACTTATAGGGCAAAGGGTTTTAGGAGGTGGGCCTAGGTACTTATAGTGTAAAGATGTGTAAGGGGTTTAGGATTTAGGAGTCTATAGGGCTTTAGCTACTTACAGGGCATAGGGGTTAGGAAAAAGCAATTTAGGTTTTAAGGTTTAGGCCTTCCAGGGCTTTTGAGGTTGTTTTTATGGGCTTCCAAGGGCTCGAGGGTTTAGGTTTCCGGGGTTTGGGTCTTTGTTTTTGAGTTTTACCTGGCTTCGGTTTTGGTTTCGGTTTAGATCGAGATTGGGCCTCGGGCATTCGCACAAGGCGGTACAAATCAACAGTTTTCGTACTCGGCTGCAGTATGGCGCATGAAACCCTGAAGCATATCTTATACAACCAGCCGCTTCAAAGCTGGGAAGTTGGAAGCTGCGCATCCTCACGAAAGGCAGGGAGTTCACAAGAACTGGCTTCTGCCTTTTGCGCCGGCGAAATCTGCAGGTGTGCAAGGCTTGGTGGTCAGGCCCCAAAGGTTACTTCAAGTCGTGTGAACTCTACAGCGCCGCTTGAATCTGACCTGAGCTTCACCGAAGCTTCCTCCTACCTGGCTGCTTAAAGTTTTTCCCGCCCATCCTCCAGACTACTCCTAGCATGCATTTTGCGCAGAACCCGGGCCATCATTGATCGAGACAGAACTTCGCCCGGGACGTTAATCCTGCGTGACTTAAGCTTAAACCCCTCTGGCGAGAGATTCAGGTCCCCTGGCACGTCGCAGTGCCGCGTCAACGGCGGAGCTCCCAGGCGGCCGAACCTGCAGTGCAAAAGAGTTTTTTTTTGCAGGGCTTACAGGTCTACAGGTATCGAGAAAGACAAATCCGACACCATTCCATGTTGAATCGTTTGTTTCAGGTGGAAGCTCTTGGCAGCTGCAGTTCGGAAGCGCTAACGTACTTACGGAGTTTCTCGTGGCCGTGCTAGTACTCATCACAATATTCCGAGCATACAAGCCATCTTATCTGCGACCTGGGGATATCACAGAGACACGGGGAAGGCAAGATCCAGTAGACGGCTAGAGCTCATGAAAGCCCGCACTGTCCCGCAGGCGGAAATACTTGGGTCGCCCTGGACCTAAACGAGAGCCAGTTAATGATCAGTTTGCCTTATGATCGACTGAAGCATGATGTGCAAGATTGTGCAATTGGGGCTTGTACCACGACGAAGTGTTGTACGGCGTTAAGTTAAGTATATGGCCGTAGCCATGGTGTTGCGAGCCGCCGCTGCCGTTGCTCTCCTGCTACTTGGTGAAAGCTTGCTGGGGTCTGCCAGGACGTGGAACCTATCCCACACTGTCGGGTTTTACGTGTCCACGGCGTCCATGGAGCGGAACCTTGCAAGTTCTACATGAGATCTCTCTCTGTCCGTGCGCTTGCTTCCATCATTGCCTGCGTATTTGTGGTGCTGTTGTGTATGCCCCACACCCCAATATCAGCAGGGAATCCGAATCCTATTGTTTTTCAAGCTGGCGTTTTCAAGATGCACCGTGCACATCCCTCCGCGTCCGCAGCAAAAACACGAAACTCGTGTCTGATTGCAAGCGCTACTCGGAGCTGGCCTCTAGATGTGGTTTAGCTAACTGCCAACATGGTAGGTTCGTCCTAGCCACGTTGGAGGCAAAAAACTGGCGGTTTGTGTGTAACCCTCCAATGATGTGAACTTCCAGAACTTGCGTCTCCGGCAATGATATGTAGTAGTTGCACTAGGCCTTATCAACCGCGAGCCTCGTGTGCAGGTCTCAGAATTTGAGATTCCTCGACTTGGAAGCCCCCGACCCCCGTCACAAAGAACAGGCAACAAGTTCTCTAAGAGAAGATGAGGCTTGCAGCTGTGCCACTGCTTCGGCTCGGACACTCCGTGGCCTTCGTGGCGCCACGAGCCATCGCTTCGCAACAGGACACTCTGTTCGAGATGATGCTGTGAATAGTCGAACTGCTTCAAGATGAACTAGAGATATATTTATCACAATGTGTTTTATTTTTTGGTCAGAGATATCCTGAATACAGCTCGCGGATCGTACGGCGAGATGCAGATTTGTACGCGCACGTGCTCGGCTTTCTTTCGCGCTGCATGATCTCCCAGCAGGAGACGTGGCTGATTAGGACCTGCGCGGATGATGGCTGTATCTGCAAACACCACAAGTGTTCCTAATTCCGGCGCCCCATCGACAACCACTATGCTACTATGGCACCTTTGCGCCCAACTTTCCATCCTTCCCTGCTGTGAGGCCACACCCACTGCGAAGCCGTGGGGCCTTCAAAGCCAAGGCGGCCTGAGCCGGGGTTCTGCACTATACATTATGTATATAAAAAATATACATAATAAAATACATACTATATCATATTATATTGGTTTCGGGGCTGCTTGGAACGCCTCGTGCTTCTCGGAAAGGCTTTAGGCCTTCGGAGAGCATGCTGGAGGGTTCGGGAGTGGGCTGGTTCACTCTGAAGCTTGAGACGGACATGGCTGAAGGCTCAGGGGCCGTGTAGGTAACCTGTGGCCTTCTTGGGCACATAAATCCCTACCACAATGAACTGATTCACCTGTTGTGGGCTAGGGTGCTCAGCCCCGAAGATGGTCTGGGCATGTCTGCATGACCACTTAGTCTGCAACTAATCTGCTCGAGCCTGTCCGCACTTGCTATGCCGTGGCGCTTTTCAGGCCAGCGTGTTGCCAAGATCCCCCAGCGGTCGGGTACACAGCAGGCGACAGTGAGCTCCAGTGTGACACCTGCTGTCCTGCGCCTTGGAGGCACACGCCGTGCAGAGCCTTTCTGTCACCATAATTGTGAGAAAGCCTGCAAACCCTGCTGAAACAACGCGACTTGTTTGGTTGCACTTGTACAGAAAAGCGGCAGAGAAACAAGAATCGAATGTCGATCGCTTCGACGAGACTCCCGTCTTGGCTGAATCCGGGCCCAACAAAACCTACAGGCTCACCCTCGAGTTTTCTCAAAGACGCCCAAAAGGTTGGACCCGAAACCCTGGGAGCTCGGCCGCAGTCAGCCAGCCATGCCCAACAAGGTCATCACCTTCATTCATCGAGAATGCGCCAAGAACCAACCCATAGAGAGTTAAGAGTCCATAAGAGACAGGATCCCGGGCTAGACCCTGTAGACCTTAAGGGTCCTCATTTTAGGTACCTGGACCAATATAATTTCCGAACCTTAAAATGCAGCTTATACCGAACCAAGTACCTCTATGTTCAGTGGTTTAGGGTTACCCTCTCATCTATTCTTCTGAACCCCCAAATGCACATTATGCCAAGGGTCCTCGGGCTGATCTTCGGGTCGGCAGCTCTTCTTCGCGTGGGTTACACACCGCTTGTGCAAGAGGCTCGTGAGAGGAGTTTTTTCGGCAGTTCCTCAGCGGATTTGCTAGCTTGATGATTAGGCTTCCACAGAGTTGCCCTGCGGATGTCCACAGGGTTTGCGTTTGGAGGTTGCGTGCAAGCAATCTTGGCTGCCAAGAGGAGCAGTCACACTTTGCAAGTCCGGCAAATGCATGCCAGTCAAGGGCTGTAGTGCATGCGCCTGCACGTTGTCGTGGGCATCGTGAAACATGTCCTTGCGAAGGATGCGGGTGCTCAATTGCTTGTCGCTTGCCGCCAGGTTCTCTGCTTCAGAAGTAAAGGCCACGAGCTACTGTTCGCCATCTTCACTGCATGCTCTATCTTGTGGCTACTTGGCTCGAAAAACAAAGTGCAGCAGGAGCAGAGACTCGTTTGTACCCCCAGCTTGGGCTGCTGCTGCTGGTTCTCTTGCGAGGTTTCTTTCGCCGAGCCACCTGGCTGAGCGAGTCGCCCGCCCCTTGCGGCCTTTAGCATTCCCGGCAGCACTGAGCTTCAGGGGCGTGGAGATGCAAGTTGCTTGAACTCATATGCGCATAGCATCGCATAGCGATGTTGTTGCTGAAGCATAGGCAGGGATCATTCGATCGGACTTTGCGCAGCAAAGGCTCTGTTTTCTCATTGTTCCTGGTTTCGGTCAGCTGTCGGCTCGAAAAAACCCTATCTTTTCAGGGCTCTTTGCAAGAATTAACCACCGTCTCAGCAGGTGGAACTGAACCAGCGAGGCTGTAGCACAAGTTATCCTTATAGCCTTGTAGTCTCAGGTGCCAACAACGTCTCTTTCCTAGACACGGTTTTGTGTGTGTGTGTGTACCACGTAGGCCTAGCATGCTTGAGTATGAGCCTCGGAGCCCGCTAAGAGACCCGACTCTAGCTAATCCAAACCACTGAGGGCAGTCTGTCAGGTAGCGATCGTGCGTTCAGCGGTTGCGTCGCTGTTTCAGAGGGTGCTACAGATGCCTCAAGAGCGGCTGCTGAGTGGCTTGACTTTGACCCACCATAGCTCAGGCCCTAAATCCTACATCCCTGAGAGTTTCATGCCGTTGACATGCTTTTCACTCCGACTGTGTACTTCGTAGGTTCGTCCTAGCCAGGCAGGAGGCAAACGAAAACCCTTAATCCGAAACCCTTCAATGCTTCCATTCCGAGTTGGAACAGCCTCGCCCGGATTGCCCGAGCTTAGCCGAGGCCCTGCGATTTGCATCCCAAGGGCAGAGCTTGAGCTGCAAAATAGTCTTGAGTTTAGGCCTGGAGCTCCAGGTTCACAAGGGTTTGAAACTTGTTCAAGTTGTGAGCGCCGAAAATTTTGCCAGGTGCAAAAGAACGGGGTTAGAGTTTAGGATGTACGGCGATCTTGCCAAGCCATTGGTGTTTTCACGGCTGAAGTTGGAATCCCTACAATTGCCAGAACGCATGCAGTTGCAATTTGCGTTGGAACCTGCAGAGCATGATCCTTTGCTCGAAAATAAGTAGTATGGAAGAGAGGCTAGCTAAATATACCATCATGCGAAGAACCGGAATCTATATGCGTTCTGGCAGGAAGTCAGACTCGGAAGTTGTATACCGGTTCGGGCAAGAGCGACAGTTTTGAAAAGAAACAAACCAATCGCAGAAGCGTTTTGAGTCGCCCTCCGTTGGTTTTGGGCACTAGCCGCAAGAAACATCACCAGAGCTTGGCACCTCCTCCGATGTTGGTACAATAGTTGTGGCCATCCTGCATTCCTTTTAGCAGGAGCGATGGGCGCCCTACAAAGCTTCCTACACATAGAGCAAAAGTTGTCATATTAGTACGTAGAGGATGCATATGTGCATATACCATATGTAATGTGTGTGTGTGTGCGTATGTGTATATAACTGTTTATGTATGTGTAATTGAATATATATATATATAAAGATATATATATATATACATATGTATATACACAGAAGGTACTTACATATGTACCTACACACGTAGTTATTCAATTGTCTGTGTGTGTACATAGACTCCGGATGACGGGTCGGGTGAATCCTGACCGGTTCAATTAGACAGCAGCAGCTTGCCGAGACAACTTAAATCTCTTGGCAAATAGGCTGGCCAGTCTGAGCATATCTCCGACAAGCAACTGGGTTCCTGTGTGCATGTATGTACAGAGCTTTGGACTGCAGTATGCACTTGGTGATGCATGTGTTTTGGTCGTTTGTATTAAATTGTATTCTGGAGGACTGCCCTCCTAGACTCGTAGTTGCTGCAGCTGGGATCTAAGCGGCTGCTACCAAAGGGCACCGCACCTCATGAGAGGCATATCGGGAGTATCTCTCAAGGCGCAGTTCCAACTCTGTTTTGGGCCCCACGGAACCGTCACATGATCGACTTTCAGAACCTCTATGAATAAGTGCTGTGGGAGAAAGCCTCAGGGGGCACTGATCACTTCGCGACGATGCCAAGGACTCGGCTTTCGGCTGTGACCTTGGCGGCCAGTGATCTGCTGAGGCCCCTCGCTAGAGCTCGGGGAGTTGACAGTTCCGCGTCGTAAAGTTTATTGTTCTGATCTTGGAGGAACCAAGTGTTTGTGTGCAAGAGATGCTTATTGGTCTTGCAGCAGGTACGCGGCCACCGCTGCGCAAGCATTCTTCGCGGCTTGCCTGGTGATGCAAGCGCTGCCTGCGCAAGCACGATATCTTCTGCCTTTCATCCCTCGCAATGCTGCATTCATAACAGGGACGGGCGCCACAAAGATCATGGGTCCCTGGATGGGGCGGCCAGCCGCCCTAGGAGGCTGGATGATGGAGCTGATGGGAATTTTAATCTCCCACAAGACATTTCTCCTGCTCACCGCGCTCTCGGCATTTCCAACTTACCGCTTCGTTTGGCGAGCCTTGGAGCCTTCGCCAATCCCAGAAGGCGAAACTAGAGGTGCCGGGGGGCAGCTGGTCCGTGAGCTTCTTCGAAGCGTCCTGTCCGGTGCGGTGCTGGCTGGGGGAGTGCGGGCTGCTTTCGCAGCAGCTGGTCGAAGTTTGCCAGACGCCGCGCTTCTTCCAGTGCTGGCGTTCATCGCCCTGGCTGGGGTCCAGCCCGTGTGACTCGGACCTTGATTGAGGGAAGGACTCTACATTTAGATTCTGGGGATGTTCGACCCATAACAACAATAACAATAATATTAATACAGAATAAAAACAGAATACTAGTAATAATAATAGTAGTATTATTAAAAATAAAAGTGATAGTAATAATAATAAAAGCCGCCATAGCCCTTGCTTCATTAAATGACACCGAGCACTTTGTTCGGCCTCAAGAGGCCGCTCTTTCCGAGGCCTCTTTGGGCCTACTGTTATTATTATTGTTGTTAGCAATATTATTGTTATTATCAAAACTGTTATTCTTGGCATTACTATTACTCTTATTAAATACTAGCATTATTGTTATTATGGTCCTTGTCATTGTTGCTCCTCATGCAGTGCCCGCAGTGTCGCCGAAAGCCACCCCCAAAATTCCGAGATTTTTTTGCACCGATGCCTCCGGAGCCAGGCAAGACTTGGCGGCACGCGCGTTTGCGGCTGTGCATCTGCGTGCGATCAAGAAGAGCCTTGGGCTTGGGCCTTTAATGTTTAGGGTTCCAGGTTGGGGTTTAGGGTTCCAGGTTAATCTATGTGGGGGTTTCGGGTCAATTTCGGGGTTTGGGGTAAATTGAGGGGTTTAGCGTCATGTTGGCAGTCATCAAGTCCGGTTTCAAAAGGGTTCCCGGTCTGGGGGTTGGAATTTGGTCTTGATTTTCGTCCGAAACAGTGACCAACGCCAATCCGGACAAGGCTGCCTGGCCCTGATGACAAAAACCTGCTCCTAGCCTCAAGCCATAAATCAACGAAGCCCTAAAGAAAACCCTCAACCCTAAACCCTATGACTATAGGGCGTTAGCAGTGCGAGGGGAAAAAAGCCTATAAAGCCTCTCTCACCCACTCAGCCACGGTCTCGTAGTCGATGGTTTCTTGGGGTTTCAGAAGATGAGAGGGTGTGCGTATTGGAGGGTCGATGTAATTGGTGAGAATCCCAGCTCTTCTCTATTTGGGGTCTCTCCCTCTCTCTGCACGATACACACACATATCCGTATATATTTATATGCACAGGATCTCTATGATATATATATATATATGTATAT